TACGATGAAATGGGTAAATTTACCTTGCGTGTTTTTATTTTTTAATGCAAAAATAAAATTTCCAAAACAAATTTTGAAAGAATCGAAAATGTGGATTTTTCCAAAACGATTATAACCCTCACTACTTTCTTTTTTGCCCAAGAAGAGGGGCTGAACACCTTTTGCAGAGAGCACCTTCCTGCGTAGGCGGCCTTCGGCCACACTTAGGGATTATAACCCTCACTAACTAGAATTCTCCTTTCTGTGTTGCCGAAGAAGAGGCTGAACAACTTTTGCAGAAAACAACTTTCTGCGTAGGCGCTTAGAGATTATAACCCTCACTAAGTAGAATTCTCCTTTCTTTTTTGCTAAAGAAGAGAGGCTGAACACCTTTTGCAGAGTTATTTCGTAGATATTTTTTTTTTGACAGCTCAGCTCGCAAAATTGCAAAAAATACCACATTTCCAACCGACATTAATAAATTAGTGCACAGATATATAGAATTTCCACCCCTATTGCGGGTGTCGACTGGCAGTAGATAAACGACTATTAAGCGATTATCGATGCTATTGTGAGTGTCGCTTATTCCCTCAATTAGAGACTGTGAATACTTTTTAATCGGTCATCCTTCTATGGCTGTTTTTTAGTCGTTGGAGTTTGCGTTTATAAAATTTACATAAGGAAGTGGTACTATAATGGATAAAAAGTAAGTCAATTGAATTGGAAGTTGTTAAAAATTGTGAAATATACATATGTATGTACATATGTGTCTGAATTACAGATAAAAAATTGTAAGCAACAAAAGGCAACTTGCGCGGTTGGTCGAGCTGATGCAGGAGAGTGAGGACATAGGCAAAGGAATTTCCGTAAAGAGCAGGGGAGGAAGCTCCGCTTCTTTTGTGAAAGATATACAATGGGCCGTATGAATAAAAATAAGCAATTGCTTTTCCTTAAAATTTCAGATCTTTTACTCAATGTATTCAAACAAAATTGAAGTAAAAGGTATGAAATTTTAAGAAAAAGCAATTGCTTAGTTTTTATTCATACGGCCCAATATTTCTTGTGCATATAATTCCGGCTACGCCATCCACAGTGTTTTTGCGCAGAACCAACATCAAAGTTTACCAAAAAAACTGCATAATTTATTAATTAACTAATGCTCGGAAACTTGAAATCTTTATGTTAAATTAAAGTTTAATTCTTTCACTACACTTGTATGTTAAAGTTTTAAAAGTCGGGTCACGCGTTTGGACACAAATACTCAACATCATTGTACAAATAACTAAACGGTACCGTATTTCCTAAACTTCCATAAAATTTATTAATGAGGAATACAGCTTTTCCTGCAAATCCTGTAAAACCTAAAAACCTTGAAGCATCGGGAACGCAACTTCTATTCATAAAATTCACATACGTACATACACTTCATCTTCCAACTCCATGGGATCCGACGAATCTCGCAATTCCCTCCT